AAAGTTTTTACAACTTTGAGTCTTCGAAAACTTCCCAATTAAGTAAATAATTAAAAATTTAACTAATTAAAGAAGCAATTAAAATTTTTCAAAAATCTATAAGTTCATTAGAATTTTCAATTAAAATTTTTGAAAATTTATAACTTCAAAAATTTCGATATAAAACCTGTCGAAAAAAATAAATTATTTGCAAAAATTTCTATTATGACTCTTTTAATATTCAATTATTTTCTAAACTGAAGAAAGATTCTTGATAACAATTCAATTATTTACTAAAATTTTGATAAAGCTCTTTATCGGAATTCTATTTTAAGAAATATTCAATTATTCAATAAATTATTTATTTTTGTATTTTAATAATTGAATTCTCGTAGAACTTTCCATTAAGAATTGAACGTTTGAAAATTTTAATTGTTGTAAAACTGTAATAATATCAAACTTTTTGTTTTTAAATAAAATAATTAAAGTTTTAAATAATTTTATTTAAAAATTTCAACAAAAAAAAAAAAATGATTAAATTTTAGAAGAATTATAATTATGTAATTTTTGAGAAATAATTAAATTTCAAATCTTCACATTGAAAACAGTTAAAATATTTTAATTCCTGTGGAAAAATAAAATGGTATTTAAATATTTATTTGGAGAAAATTATTCTATTTTTGAATGTAATAATTTAATTTTGAAATTAAGAAATTATGGAAAAATCGAATCGGACACTTGTTTATTACTTTTTTTCTGTTTTAAAGTCACTTTTTGCTACTTTTTCAAAATTGAGTGCGAAGCCTGTATTTGTATAGGAAAAAAATATTTTCTTTCATTTAAATGTTGCAGAAGTTTTAGAAAACAAAAATAACACTTGATATGATATATTTATTAAATTTAAACTTATTATTGTTTCTTGTATATATTTTTCGTTTCTTATTGGTTGATTTTCAAGGTCATTAAACGACCAATAAAATCGACAAAATCCCCTCTTTTGGATTCATATCCCAAGTTTGCAGCGCCATCTAGAAAAAATGTGACTACAACGGTAAACTAATCAATACGAAATTTTCCTTTTCTCTTCAATGAAGAAAAAATGAAATTTATCATTTGTGAAATTTATCATCATTATCATCATAAATATTAAATTTACACCCTTTCATATCTAAATTTCGAAAATAATATTAATTTGAAAGATAATTAATCACGCGGTTTAAAAAAAATGTTGTCTTATCTTTCCTTAAGGAAAATGATAATTTAAAGAAAATTTTTTACACCGAATTGTACAGCTAATACCCCTATCATAATTAGGTTTTGTTTTGCGTTTCTTTATTTCTGCGCGTGCCGTGTGAAAACCATTTTCATATATCGTCAAGGGTAACTCGAGAAGACCATGTGGAACACACGGGTCGAGGTCGCTATCGATTGTCGTTTGAAGATGGTACCAGTGACGAGAGGCTGCTATAAAGACTTGACCAAGATTAAAATGTTACTTTGAAAAATGTGAAATCCCTTTTTTTCTGACTTTTTCCATTTTCTCCACTATTCTAAAACATTTTTATTATTATTTTCCTTTGTTACTTAGCTTTCCAAATGAAAGCAAAAAAAAAAAAAAAAAAAAAAAAAAAAAAAAATGAAGACAAAATATTCCATTAGAATTTTATGAATTACACTTTGAAATTTGGAAAATTATCAAAAAAAAGCAAAAACAAAATTTGTTCAAATTTCTACATAAAAAAACCACAGAATCGAGACAATATTTTTATAACTTTTTAATATAAAAGTTGAGTGCAAAAAATGAATCATCAGAAACAAACCAAAAAATATATACAATTGTGGAATATTTGACATGCTTCAAAAAACTTTAACCTAGTTGGTATGTCAGAAAAAAAAGAAGATTTAAACAAATTTCTATAAATAGAGTTGCGCAGAATAAGGTAGTTATCGACAGAAAACCGATAGCAGCATCCACGTGATTTTATTGTTACGTAATTTACGTCAAATATTTAGTTTATTTTTTGTAATTTTTATTTATTTATTTATTTTCCAAGTGACATTTCTTGTTTCTAACTAGGGTAGGTCTTATAGATGGTTTCTTTTCTTAATCTTCGTGTTTTTCACTTTTTGTCTTTCTTAAAATTATATTAACAGGGTGTCTATATACTATTTTCGTTCAACAAAATTTCCGGCTTTGTCCTATAATTTTTCACGGTTTTTTTTTCTCAACAAATTTAAATTTATTTGATTTCGAACATAAATAAATCTACAAATTTTTTATTAGAGTTTTTATGAATAATTAAATTCTTTTGACAATGTTTTTTTTAAACAAATTTTAAATTAAAAAATTTGGAAAATAATTGAATTAAACAAAGAATTTTTGCTATTTTTAAAATTAATTAAATCCTTCCAAAGAATATTATTATTTATATGAAAATAATTAAATGTTTGCGAAGAATTTTATTAAAATTTTTGATAATAATTGAATTGTGTAAAATAATTTAATTATTCGTTAATTATACGATATAATTTGGAGAATTTTAGAGAAATTACAAATCATTGTAGAAATTCAATTATTTTCAAAAGTAATAAAATTCTTCGCAAAAATTCAATTACGATCAAAATTTTTTTTAAATTTTCGTCAAAATTTTAATTATCTTTAGAAATATTAAAATTCTTCTCTAAAATTAAATTATTTTTAAAAAATCTAAAAAACATTGTCAACATTTCAATTATCTTTATAAATAAATAGCAAAATTCTTCGACAAAATTCAATTATTTTGAAAAATTTTAATAAAATTCATTAAAAAAAATTTTAATTAGTTTCATAATTAACAATATTTATCACACGATTTAAATTATTTTCTAAAGTAATAAAATTCAATTATTTTCAAAAATTATAATAAAAATCCATTGCTAAATTTCAATTATTTTCTAAAGTAATAAAATTCTTTTTAGGAGAATTCAATTATTTTCAATAGAATTTTAATTGAATTTCTCGAAAAAATTCTTAAAAATTTTATTAAAATTCGTCCAAAGAATTTAATTATTTAAAAATTTGTTGATAAAATTTTTAATAGGAATTGAATTCCAAGAAACATTCAATTATTTAATAAATTATTTATTTGCATTTCATTTGTATTTAAATAATTGAATTCTGGTAGAAAAAAATTTTTTTTTAAATTTTATTAAAATTCGTCCAAAGAATTTAATTATTCAAAAATTTGTTGATAAAATTTTTAATAGGAATTGAATTCCAAGAAACATTCAATTATTCAATAAATTATTTATTTGCATTTCATTTGTATTTAAATAATTGAATTCTGGTAAAATTTTCTCCTAAACATTGATTTAAAAATAGATTTCAGTTAAAATCTTAGATTATAATAATTGAATTTTTTCAGAGGATTTCATTAAAATTTTAAAAATAATTGAATTTTATCGAGACATTTTTTTAAAATTGTTTTAAAAATAATTAAATTTCTACCAAACAAAATTTTATCAAAACTTTTTAAATTGTTTGAATTTCTACTAAAATTCTGATATTTTTGAAAATAATTGAATTCTTGCGAAGAATTTTATTAAGACTTTTGAAAATAATTGAATCTCTTCAAAGATTTTTATTATTTTACGAAAATATTTAAATTCTTGAGAAAAATTTTATTATAATTTCTGAAAGTAATAGAAGATCTGCTATTTTTTTATTTTTAATTTATGCCAAGAATTTTATTAAAATTTTTAAAAATAATTGAATTCCTGTTAATTTTTTACAAGAATTTAATTATTTTTGAAAATTTTAATAAAATTCTTCGCTAGAATTCAATTATTTTTATAAATAATAAAATTCAATGCAAAATTTCAATTATTTTTAATACAATTTTAATTGAATTTCTTGAAAAATGTAATTATTCTTAAAAATTTTATTAAAATTCGTTGATAGAATTCAATTATTTGAAAATTTGTTGATAACGATTTTTTATGGAAATTGAATTTTAAGAAACGTTCAATTATTCAATAAATTATTTATTTGCATTTTTACATTTAAATTTGTATTTAAATAATTGAATTCTAGTAGAATTTTCTAATAAAAATTGATTTTCAGTTCATAAAAATGAATTTCAGTTAAAATTTTAGATAATAATTGAATATTAAAAGCAATATAGCATGAATTTAAAAAAATAATTGAATTTTGTAATTCATTTTTTTGAAAAAGTTTAATTGAGTTTTTTTAATATTATTTCTATTTTCTATTTTCTAATATTTATTTAATTAAAGAATTTACGAATAATTTAAATTTCGTAAAATTGAATATTGTAAAGAAATGAATTTTGGATAAAATTCTTAAAAATAATAATTAAATTGATAATGATTTTAATTATTATAAATTATTTTTATTAATAATTATTATTAATTATTATAATAATATTCGGCCTGATTCTATTTTTGTCAGTTGGTCCGTAAAGTCCGTATTTTTAAATACTTTCATTGCTTCGATCCCTGTAATTGAAATTTTAAGAATTTAAAAAAAAATTTTAAACATACTTGAATTTCTGCGAAGAATTTGATTACTTTTTAAAATAATTGAATTGTTTTTTAGAATTTTATGGAAATTTATGAAAATAATTGAATTCTTGTGAAGAATATTTTTTAAAAATAATATTCTCGTTAATTCAGTTAAGGGCATTTGAACCTTGATGACGTCACACATGCTTTGCACAATCTGTAACGTCATCAAGGTTCAAATGCCCTTAAATAAAATTTTTTTAAAAAATTGAAAACTAAATAATTTAAAAATATCTAAAAATATTTTATAATAGAATAAAAATGTTACTAAATGAAATAATTTTAATTCCTATTAATTTAAATACTTTGGATTCATAAAATTTTCTTTTGCAGAGCGTAAATATAAATATATATTGTATGTAGAGAATTTAACATCCTGTGGCTTCTTTTATAGGTAGACATAGGTAACAAAAAGTATATAATAATAATAATATGTCATTTGAAAATAATATACTCACTGCTTGCTAAAGAACTGTTTAAAAGCGCCTTATTGTTAACAGCATGTTTCCACGTAATTGTCGTCAGATTACCACGAACTTTTTCTTTAAAGAATTCTTCAATACTCGGTGGATTTGTAGACATGACAAATTCTGTAAAAACAAATATTCATAATTTGATTACTGAGAATTCAAGTGTTTCGACCTCTGACATATAACGAATATATATTTTTTTTACCCTCTATTTATATTCGAGTGACGATATAAAAGAATAACAGTTACATTTTTTCCAATTACGTACAATTTTAAACTCTTATCAAATTACTATACAAAAAATGTCTGAATGAAATTCTTTATAATACACAAAATTTAATTTTTTTCTGATTAATATTTGTTATCTAAATTTATTTTCTCTGTAAAGAAAAAGAAAAATTTTTCTTGGAAATATAAATACAATGGTATGAAAGTATCACTGAAATAAATTAATTCCAAATTAGAATTTTTGATTCACTGAAAAATTTCAAATTCTAACTCTAAAAATGTTAAAATTACAATAAAAAGTTTTAAAAATTGGTTTTTATACCGAGATGAGAAATAAAATTGAGTTATTAAAATTACAGGGTTGCCAAAGGTCAGGGAAATCAGGGAATTCAGGGAAAAGTCATGGAAAATAAAAATTGGACAGGGAAATCAGGGATTATTTTTAAAAATTTTAAAAAAATTCTTTGCAAAATTTCAATTATTTTCAAAAAATTTTCCTCAATTCAATGATTTTCAATATCTACTATTTTAATAAAATTTTTCAAAAGAATTTAATTGTTTAAAAAAGAAATGCTGATAAAATTCTAAGCAAACATTAAATTATTTTCATAAATAATGAAAATTTCACAGGACTTCAACTATTTTACAAAAATTCAATTATTTTCATGAATAAATAAAACTCATTATAGAATTTCAATTATTTTTAATACAATTTTAATTGAATTCTTAGAAAAATGTAACTATTCTTGAAAATTTGATTAAAATTCCTCGAAAAAATTTAATTATGTTGATTAAATTCTTTATAATAATTCAATTTAGAGAAACATTCATTTATTCAGTAAATTATTTATTTTTGTATTTAAATAATTAAATTCTTGTAGAATTTTCCAAAAAAAAAAAAAATCATTTAAAAATTAATATTAATGAATATATTGAAAGCATTATCGCATAAATTTTTAAAAATAATTGATAATTGAATTCTTTCGAAGAATTTTAATAAAATTTTTGAAAATAATTACATTTTTTAAAGAATTTACTTAAAATTGTATTAAAAATAATTGAACTCCGGTAAAGAATTTTATTAATTTATGAAAGTAATTGAATTTTTGCAACAAACTTTATCAAATTTTTTTTTAAATAATTGAAATAATGTAAAAAATTTTATTATTTATGAAAATAATTGAATTCCTGCAACGAATTTTATTAAATTTTTTTTAAATAATTGAATTCTATTGAGAATTTTTATTAAAATAGTAGATTTTGAAATTATTTGAATTTCAACGAAGAATTTCATTAACTATATTCGTGAAATGTAATTAAATTCTTGCAAAAAATTTATGAAAATAATTCCATTTTTCTAGAATTTTATTTTAAATTGTATAAAAAATAATTGAAATCCTCAGAAAAATTTTATAATTTATGAAAATAATGGAATTCTTATAACGAATTTTATTAAATTTTTTGTAAATAATTGAATTTATGTGAAAAATTTTATGAAAATTGAGTTTTAAATAATTGAATTCCTACAACGAATTTTATTACATTTTATTTAAATAGCTAAATTCTTTTGAAAACTTTTATTAAAATAGTAAATTTTGAAAATTTTTGAATTTCAGCGAAGAATTTCATTATTTGTGAAATGTACCTAATTTAATTCTTGCAAAAAATTTTTGAAGATAATTTCATTTTTCGAGAAATTTCTTTAAAATTGTAAAAAAAAAAAGTAAAAAAAAAAAAAAAAAATTATTATTATTATTATTATTATTATTTATTATTATTTTTTTTTTTAGTTAAAAGTAATTGATATACCCTGTGAAGAATTTTATTATTTATGAAAATAATTGAATTCTGGCAATGAATTTTATTATAATTTTTGTGAATAATTTAATTTTTTTTTGAAAAATGTTATGGAAATCTAAATTTTTATAAAATATGAAGATATGAATTACTCCGAGTCAAAGACTCGGAGTGATTTATATCTTCATGTTTTATAATAATATTCTTAAAAGTTGTTGAATTTTAATGTTTTGAAGAATTTTAATTCCTATGGAAAAATAATAATTAAATACTTATTTCTGTTATTTAAAAATGAAGTTATTAATGTTTGCGAATAATTTTACAATTAAAGAAATTCGTAGGTAAATGTAATAGAATGTTCTTTTTGATTATCTAATAATGTTTAGTGTGAATCAGAATATTCTTCAGGGTCAAGTAAAATGTTAAAATTTTGTCTGGAAATCAGGGAAAAACAAAATTAATTTTTTGTTCCAACCCTGAATTAAAAAGTTTCCAAAAATTGTGTTTTTTTAAATACCTGTTTGGATTTTGTTTTTTGACACTACTTTGTTTTGAAAAAGAAGAAAAATCGTAGAATGAAATAAATATATGATTACCTTCTTTAAATACGATTGGATTTCAAAATTGCCAAAAAAAATTTTATTCTCACTTTGTACTATTCACGTAAAAATAACAACATGACATTATCTCGAGATAAAAAGATCTTTTTTTATATATATATTTGTTTTTAAAAAAACAGAAGGAAATCTGTTTCACGCAAAGCTGCACATGATATATTCACTTGAGGTTGAGAGTTTACCGGTGAAAATCACAGGTACGTGTCAAACTGACCTCGGTCAATATGACGAACGCACACCAAAGGAATCTAATTGACATAGACAATCGATCGATTGTTCAGGGAGCAATGTATTCTTTTATGTTTCTATTTATAGAAATTTACAAAATGGTCACCACTTTGTGACACTGTGAAAATATAAAAAAACATTTATCAAATAAGTGAAATCACATTTTTTTCCCCTCATAAAATTTCATTTTATAAAACGAAATCTGTAAGTCAATTTAGCCTTTAAATAAAATTCTGTAGTTTTATCGTTAGTTTTAGAAAATATAATCAAAGCACTAGTCTGAAGGTAGTTGAATTAAAAAAAGAATTCGTATCTGTAAAAAAAATTTGGTTATTTTTAAAATTATTTTAATGACAATTATTTGTATCGTCTGTTTAATTTAAAATTTAAGTTTACTTCATTGAGAATCGGAATTTAAGAGGTAAAGGAAGCGACAATGAGTGTGAGGGAGAAAAACAGGGATTTCTCTATCGCTCTCATTGTCCCCACTCCTTGTAAGCGACGGAGTGGGGGAGATGCGAGTGAGAGAGAAAAACTGAATTATCTCTTTCGCTCTCGTTATCCCCACTCCTTGAGGCGGAGCGTAAGCGCAAGAGTGGAAGAATGCGAGTGAGAGACAAAATATAAATAAATTATATTCGAATAAATAATATAATTTAATTTTAGAAATTATAAAAAAAAATTAGTCTTAAAAAATAGAAATAAATATTTACATTGAAAATAATTATTGAATTCCAGTAAAAATTAAAAAAAGTTCAATTAAATTTATAATTAAGACATATTTATAATAATATAAAATTTCTAAATTTTGACAATAAAAAAAAAGCAAAATCTGGGACTACAATGCAAAACTAAAATCTATTTTTAGATGGAAATATATTTCGGAGTCCTAGTTATGTAGCACCAACATTGACCTCTTTTCTGATGAAGTTTATATACCTCTAATCCGGAAGGAAATAATTTCCAAATTAAAACAAAAAGTATTTCATTAATTTTCCACAGCAGTGCTTTTTTCTTTTAACAATTATTATAAAATAATTTACTCATATATTTGAAAAAATAAATTAAATATTGATTATTACAAAACTAGATATATATATTTGAATAACCCCTGAATTAACTTCTTTGAAGCGTGTATAATTTGCCAGAGTTCTTCAAACACATTTTTCTTTTAATAAACACATTTTTTTTTTTTTAATAAAACTTTGATTAACGGTAGAATCTCTTTTATGTTTTTGACAGTGACATTTAGATTTGATAGAGCAATTTATGGGCGAGTTCACATTTTTATGTATAAACGATAAAAGTATATAAATTGTATAAATTTTATAAATTGCTTGAGAATTAATTCACTCAAAAAGAGGAAAATTAGAGGAAAAGTATTGGCTCTAAATTGGCCAATTTACCCAAATTGGAACTTAATATAATTTCACGAGAAAAAATATTCTTTCTAGTAAGAAAATTATTTCTATTTTATTATTTTTTTTAGGTGTGGCATTTGTTGATATAATTAATTCGAAATAATTGAAATGTTTTTTCACAGTGCCACACGGTAAATTTAATTAACCTTTTAAAAAAAAATTGTTTCTTCTCGTCTAATTTCAAAAAAAGGGGTGAATAAATTCAACGTCAAGTATATATAATTGGCTAAATTAATTAGCCAATTCGTGAAATTCCCGTACTCTATGTGTGTGTGTGAGTCATTTTTGCTAGGCGGCAATTGATAACTTTCTTTGTAGAAAAATAAATATACGGGACACGTACTTTTTATTAGAGACAATTAGTCCATCGATGATTCATTAAATGTACTTATAGTTATAATTGCTCTATATTATGCAGTTTCATCAAAAAGTTAATTTCCCATTAGAACTAAACTGATTTCTTTCATAAATTTTAAAATATTTTCATCATTACGATTATTCATTTCTCGAATTTCCAACTAAAATTCATCTTTAAGTCAATTTTTTAAAAATAATTTTTGAAAAAGTTCTTTGTGAATTTTCAAATTCTTTTGATTACAATTTAATTTAATTTTACGAAACTTCGATTATTCTGACATTATTTAATTAAATAGGGTAACTGTACCAATTGTCGAGGGTTTTAGGCAACATGTGACTTTGACATTTTTTTTCTCGGAAGTAAATGCACTTTAAAATTTGATTTTTGTATATTTGGACGAAGGATCTAATAATGTTTAATATTCATTATTATTTTTTTAATATAAACTAAATTGTTAAGCAAAAAATATATTTAAAAGTCAATCGAGCAAAAGCACCATTTGTCGATGGTCTTGTGCTAATTTCTCGAGGGTCTGTTCCAATTGTCGAGGGTATGACATTTTTAAACATATAACCCAATATAACCTAACAATTAACCTGTACAGATATTTGAAAATCAAGTAGATATTTATTTTTTCGATAAAAATATTATAGAACATTACCAGAAATCAAATATATTTATTTAACTATAATTAAATAATTTATAATATCGATATAAAACATTTTTATAGTAGACGATACAGGACAGAAAATTATTTGACTGTTTTTTAAACTTTTATAAATAAGTTAATTAAATTTAATCAATTTTGTTAATCAGACACTAATTGAAAAAATAAATTAATTTAAGTCACATTAAATTTGTAAACGAATAAAATCAACTTTTATTACGAACTGTAAATATAATGGTTAATTATAATTAAACTATAGTACAAAATTTTTTAGTTTTAAATAATGCATTTTTTTTATTAATTTTTTTTCCGTCTTCCTTGTTTTTTTTGGTTGATTATTTTCTGTTGGTTGTAAATTTTTGGAGCATTTTTTTTCTTTTTCTCTGTACCTATAAATGTTTAGTATTTATGTTTGACGTTTAGTAAATAAACACTTAACCATCGATAAATGGTACATCAGCGAAAAAAGTGACTACACCAATTTTCGAGTCATTACCTCGAAAAATGGAACTGTCAAAAAAAAAGGAACCAAATACCGATGATTTGCTTTTAAAAAATATTAAATATTTTTTTTAACAAAAAAACATGCATACAAAATTAATTTAGTTCGTGTACAAAATTATAATAATAATTTTGTACACAAAAAGTCATTATAAATACGTTTAATTTGCATTTCTAAAAATCTCTTTTAATCAACCTGAAGTATTAAGAAAACGGAGATTCGTGTAAATTTCACAGCAGTGAATTATAATATTAATTAAATAATTATTTTAGTAGAATCGCTACGAAATTTGTATATATAAATATACAGTTGAAAATACAAAGATTATTTAGAAATTTTTTTTGTTCTTAAATATTATATATTATACTACCCAGGTGCGAAAAGTTGGTCGGGCCATGGTCGCGCCGACCAAGTGGATAGTCGTGCCGACCTTGGCAGCCAAAGGTCGGCCGAACTAGTGAATTGTAACACCCGCCGTCCAGTGGCTAACATGGTCGGGCCGACCATGGGTGCCAAAGTCGGGCCGACCAGGGGTGCCAAAGTTTTCCCGACCATGAGAAAGAAGGTCGGCTTCATTTTGGCAACCATGGTCGTGCCGACCTTGGCAGCCAAAGGTCGGCCGAACTAGCGAATTGTAACACCCGCCGTCCAGTGGCTGACATGGTCGGGCCGACTATGGTTGCCAAAGTCGGGCCGACCAGGGGTGCCAAAGTTTTCCCGACCATGAGAAAGAAGGTCGGCTTCATTTTGGCAACCATGGTCGTGCCGACCTTGGCAGCCAATAGTCGGCCGACCGTTTGCAAAAAATTATTAACTTTACAATTAACAGATATTAAGTGATATCTTAATATTCATTATTTATTTATTTATTTATCGCATTCATCTTAACACTAGACGCAATCTTATACATAAATACAAATTAAAATTTCTAACGCTCGCAGGGATCGAACTCGCAACCTAAGGCACCGAAGTCTAACACGCTAACCATTACGCTACGCTTACATGAAAGCCTAAGAACAAAAATGAATTTATAAGCTGCAATTTAAAAAAAGAAATTTGTAATTCATAACGATTAATAAATCAGATAACGTTTATTAGTTTTTGTTTAATCCATTTTAGCTAAAATAATTAACACAAAAACTTTTAATTTCTACCATGGCAGTATAGAAATGTTTTTTAAGATGGTCGGGCCAACCGTGGCCAGAGTCGGCCCGACCAACAGAAATTAGGTTTTTTACACTCTGGCTGCCATAGTTTTACCGACCATCGGCCCGACTCAGGCCAGAGTCGGCCCGACCAACAGAAATTAGGTTTTTTAAACTCTGGCTGCCATAGTTTTACCGACCATCGGCCCGACTCAGGCCAGAGTCGGCCCGACCAACAGAAATTAGGTTTTTTACACTCTGGCTGCCATAGTTTTGCCGACCATCGGCCCGACTCAGGCCAGAGTCGGCCCGACCAACAGAAATTAGGTTTTTTTCACTCTGGCTGCCATAGTTTTACCGACCATCGGCCCGACTCAGGCCAGAGTCGGCCCGACCAACAGAAATTAGGTTTTTTACACTCTGGCTGCCATAGTTTTGCCGACCATCGGCCCGACTCAGGCCAGAGTCGGCCCGACCAACTAAAATTAGGTTCTCTAAACTCTGGCACCCATAGTCGGCCCAACCTTGGGTGGAAACAGTAACCAAAGTCGGCCCGACTTTGGCTGCCGACCTATTGGCAGCCATAGATGGGCCGACCTGGGCCCGACCTGCCAACTCTGGCGGCCGACCAAAATTCGCACCTGGGTATTTATCTAAAAAAGAAAATTATTATCCTCGACAATTGGAGCACCCTCGGCAATTGGTGCAGTTACCCTATATTAGAAATTAAAAAGTTCAAATAATTAAAAAAAATTCCATTAAACTTATTGAGAAAAATTAATTCTATAGAATTCTTAATTAAAAGTATGAAAAGTTCAAATTTTTAAAGATTTTAATTTAAAATTCATTTTTAAATCAATTTTTATTAGAAAATTTTACTGGA